AAATGGAATTCAAAGGAAGCTTTGTCCAGTTTGCCTAAAAACAGGGTCTGGCCCATGCATAGGAGCAGCATTCTGTCCCCTGGTGGTCTCATCCTTTCTGGATATGGTCACTGTTTTCAGGCTCCCCTCAGACCCTTAATCACAAACAGGGCTCTCCTCTTTGTAAAGGTATGTTGAATTGTCTATCTCTGCACAAAGACAAAAAAGAAAAACAGATAGTTTTGCCTGCACCAAAAACCCAGTCCAAGTGCTCCAAAGCAAACACAATCTGACACATGCTAAAAATTGCCTGGAGCAGTGGTGAGTTATAGTTCTTCTCCCCGGGGCAGATAATTCATTAGGAAATAGCCCCATGCCCTGTGCAGCAACTGAACAAAAATATTTATTTGTGGTCATATCAGATGATAAGGGGAACAGGGTTTCTTTTGGAACAAGGGGGGAGGGAGACCCCTGCAGCCGATGCCCATCATACGCATTGCAAATGATTCATTAGCCTTCATCCTGTAATCTAGGTCAGGGAGGGAGGTTCAGCGGAGGGCTTTTAAATCCGCTCCACGGCTCAGGTTGAATCTGCTTATGTGAAGGCACATGAAGCAGACAGTTACACCGTGCTGGGGCACTCTAAGGGGAATAGAAAAATGCTTTCACCTGATAGAGGGACCTTTTCCTGACCCGGAGAGTAATCAAAAATAAAGAGGGTTGTACTTGCAGACGAATGCCATTTAAATACGTGCACACGCACACACACACACATACACACACGGTACTTTTCTCCAAGCTTTCTGTATTCAACTCTTCAGGCCCTGAACACAGTGTCTGCCAGATAGATCTTTCAAAAGGAGACAGTATCTTCCAGACTCAGTGGATTCCTTTTAAAAACAATAGACTCACACGCTGTTCGTGTTGGAAGGACGTTAGACATCCATCCACTCACATCGAAGGAGAAGACATGAAACCGGAAGGAAAGTGGCTCTCTCCCCCAAGGCCATACACATGTCCGACACCATGCCACCGTCTATTTCTCTCTGGGTTTTTAAGATTTTTTTTGTACAAAATGAATAATTTATTAAACAACGCACAAACAAAACTAATTGACGTGGGGCCTGCCACCTGATAAACTGAATTTGTGTCAGGGACACTTGATGTGTGCCTCATTTTTCCCCAAAAAATGACTGTGAAAGGACACTGTGTTTGAAAGGATAGCTCTGTCTTGAGGGTTCCTTCCTCAAAACCTCTTGTCCTTGCTTTAATGGGATTCTTTTCTAGACATGTCGTGCCACTTAATTCACTTGGTCAAAGGCTGTGACACTTTTGGGTTGCTCTTGCCCTATCCCTCCAAGGCCACAAGAGGCTGGCGGGGTGTGTTTTCCTCAATATGTTCTGAAATAATTGCAAGAAATCAAAATCTTGAGAGAAATTTAAATAGGAAAAAAATTTGAATGTCAACATTCAATTCAAGCAAAACATTAAAGAACTCACTAGGGTTGGCAATTTCTTTTATTTCCCAAAAATCACAAGAAAACTTTTAAAGTTCAAGTATGACAGGAGAAAAAAATTATACTGGCAAGAAACGAAGAGATCTAGGTTTTGTTCTTAACTTTCCTACTGGATTGGCTTCAAATCATTCGAGTGATATCTAGAAACCATTTCCACCTCTCTGGGCCTTCCCTTCCTCATCCATACGAGCAAGAGGGAAGCCAAGTAGTCTCCAAGGTTCTATCATTAGCTATGCCACACAAGTAATGCCTCCAAAATTGCTTTTTGCTTTTGTGTTTTGTTTTTGAAAGACACAGGAACTGCAGAACTATCTCTAGCCATTTCAAAATATGAGAACTGGCATTAAAGGAACACTTCGAAATCTGCTAAATCTATATAAAGCTTTCAAATAAAGTAGTTTCACTATTAAAATAATTTTCCAAAATAATGCTGGAAATCTTTGGGCTAAGAGCTTACTTATGTAGCCAACCATCTAACCAATACCTCCCCCTCCAGCCCCTACCTCATTTCACTTTCTAGATTGATTTGTGAGGTTTTTCTCCCTAGCTCTCTTTCTATTTTTAAAACATTTGTTAAGGCCTGAAGAGGACTCGGAGTGAGTGTACGTGAGCACAGCCGAACAAGCCTGGTTCTTGTCGGGCCTGAACCTTTCCCCGGGAATGGAGTTTTGTGTTCCGTTGCTCCAGCCACAACTGGAAGGTTATAGAATATTCTATTTTAGGACACCTTTAAAAAAAAAAAATGAGAAGCCCATTTGAAAGTGCTGCAGAATGTTATTTTGATTTCTGCCAGAGAATGAATCACTCCCCCTGAATGCAAACACCAGCAAAGAATGCGTTAGAGGATCCGCCATCATATTAAAAATTAAATCCGGCTGCATTTCATAATGGGCTTTCCTTTTTAAAGCACGGTTTCATCTTCTTGCTGTGGAAATTGCGCTCTGATGACTGTTCTTTATGGTTAACACTGAGGCATCGGCTGAGGTCAGAACCCTGCTTCTCTGAACAGGGGACCACAAATGTCACTGACACATGGCACGCCTGGCAAATAATGTATTTCTTCCCTGTGTCTTCAGCTTGCCTCTAACGTCATGCTTGGGGTAAGCTAAAGAGAGTCTACTTCGCGGGTCTTCCTTCCTTCCTTTGGTGGGACCAGCAGGAGGCATGCAATTTACAATGAATTCAGAAGTGCACCTCTTTTGATTTTCGTTGTTGTCTTTATTTTAACCTCCAAGAAGAGAGAGATTTAACTCAGTTTTCACCCCAGGCTAAGCTAATACTTAGGTCATGTCTGAGCCCTCTGGGGAACCCCTGCTTTATACCATCCGAGGGGCAATGGTGTCTTTTCACGTGGAGCGGCACAGCTGTCCAGCCATATGGGCCCCAAACAGCCCCGTCAATCGGATTTGGGGAGGTTTTACAATATAATTTCTTAACGTGTTAGTATTTGGGGTGAGCTTGATCGGGAGCAGAGACAGCTCTTAAGCCCAAGGATTTAGGCTTTAAGAAAACCATCACAAATGTCCCAGCATCCGATCAGACTGGTTAAAAACAGATATGAAAATCTGGATTGGGGGAGGGGAAAGGACTCCTGACCCCCGCTGGAGAAAGCCCCAGGGGTATGCTCTAACTATTAATTCAGCATCAGCAGCTTTTTTTTTTTTCACCACCCCCCCTTGTCTTTTCTTTTTTAACCCGGGCTCTTCATTTAAGGCGTTCCCACTCAGGCCTGCAGAGCCTGTTACAAAACCATCTCTCTCCTCCCCTCCCCCCATGCCGCAAGATGAGAGAGCGAACACCCCGCACTGCAGCTACGGGCGCAGGAGGGACTGCATTGAAACCGTCCTCCATCTAAACAAAACCAGGGCCTGTAAGAAAGGCCAAGGAAAGGGTAGCAGCGGCATGTCCTGCTGTCCTTCAGTCCAGACCCACTGGAACTCACTTCGCAGCCCCATCCCTCCGTGTGGATGGAAGGGGTTCAGAAACTATCTGCGAAAGGAGTCGTAAGTGAACAGAAAACAAATAGTCCTGAATCTAAAACCCGTATCAAAACGCTGGAGGTCTTGAGCCAAGCTACCGCCAATTTAGTTTCTGCACCAGAAAAGTGTTCTAGCTTGAGGGGGACGTTCTATGAATGGTAAGTTTTCCCCGGAAAGAGCCCAGAGGATGGCTTTCTCCAACCAGCTACAGTCTTCAGAAATTAAGTCTTTATTGCAGGGATCTTCTCCTTCTCTCCCTCTGTCTCCTACCCCTGCCAAAGCTTTCCACTTCTTGGAATTGACAAAAACTGCTTATTTTCTAAGAGTCTAAGTGGTGCATCGTTGGAAGCAAAAAGCCAGAGCTGAGGGGTTTCCAGGTCGCTGTTCTTCTCTGGGGCAAACACCCCACAATGGACCAGAGCCTCGAATCAGGAAGGGCAGCGCCCAGGGTCCCCATTCGTTTGGGCCGAGCCCCCCCCCAGGACCACTGTGATTCCGGGAATGCTGGTTTAGCTAGCAGGGCTTGGTCCCCCATCTATCATGGCCCTGAATCCGGTGCTGCCCAAGAAACACTTCGATTTTTTCTAAGTCATCAAAGAAGCAAAGCTGGAGTCGGAGAAGCAGATGGGCCCTGCGTGTGCGTAGAGCGCCCGGGTTGGGGCTGACCCTTTGGACAGATCGAAGACTGCTCTTTGCAGGCATTGGGGTTTGTGTTGGGGGGTCGGGGTATGTCTTTGCATTTTGCTCTCATGGGCAAATTCATTCTGAGTCCTTCCTGAAGGCCAAGCTAACCCTGCGTTCCCGGAAAACACACAAACACCGCCGCAACCACCACAACAAAAGGCGCCTCCCTGAAGTGAGCCCCCAAGTCCGCGGGACCGGTGGCGGCCCGACGTGGAGACGCACTTTTGTGCCTCTCTAATCTCCAGCGTCCATCTGGCCCCGGCGGGCGCGGGAGGGCGGAGGGCGCCGGGAGGGGCGGGGCGCGCGCACGCATCCAGGGGCGCGGGCACGCGCGCCGGCTCTCCTTCACGTTCACCTTGACTGCAGGGGGCGGGGGCGGCACTCTCGTCCCCCTCCCCCCCACCGCCCGCTCTTCTCCCCACCCCTCCCCCGCTGTCCTGCCCAGACACCAGCCCAGGGCGGGGGGGCGGGGGAGGCTGCGCGGGCGCTCGGGTCGCCGCAGCGCAGTGATGTCAACCGCATCCGCCGCAGCCCCCCCCCCCGCCGCCACCCCCCGGCCTCGCCCGCGCGGCGGCCCGCGGAAACCCCAGGCCGGCGCCTCCGGCCGGGCTAGGAGCGGAGGGCGTGCCCTGAGCCCCCCACTCCGTTTGCCAAAGCGGGAGAGCCCGGAGCGGACGCACCGCGGGGCCGCCGGGGCCCAGGGGGGGCGCGGAGAGGGGCGCGGAGACAGGTGTAGTTGGACGGCCGGGGCCACCGAGAGGACTCTGCCCCCGACTGGTGCCGCCCGGGTGGCAGGGAGGGGGTGGCGTGGAGGGGGCGGGGGGCACGGGCCACTGCAGATGCGACGGCGCTGGTGGGCACGGGAACGCTGTCCTTTCTCCCGGGATAGAAACGGATACGCGGAAGCGCGTGCGAGTGTGGGGTGCGAATCGCCACCTCCGGCCTTGGCTTTCCCGCTCTTCCGAGCGCTCCCACGTCTCACTTTCCCCAAATCCGCATTTTCCTTGGCACAGCCCTGCCCGAGCACGAAGGAGGGGGAGGTACCCGGGGGCAGTGAGAATGACGCGTGCTGGTGCAGAGGGGGTGGGGCTGCGGGCCGCGCTCTGTGGACGGGCTCCTAATCCTCTGGTTTTCGGAACCGTCAGCAGATGTGGCTTCTTTTAGCTGAATAATCCGTTAAAGGAATAATAATTTTGTAAAAAGGAGATCGCCCTCAGCCGAAGAGGATGGCGAACGAGATTAAGGCTTGGTAAGGATAAATTAAAAGGCTCCAAATTCTCTGTCCCCTCTCTGCCTTCCTCTCTACCCTCCCCCTCCTCCCCCACCCTTCCCTCCCCTCCCCCTCTCTCCCCATCCCCTGCAATCCGCGCTCGACGCGAGTTCACGCGCAGGGCTGGATTTCCAGGCTGCACCGCACCTCGCGCTGCGCGTTATTATTCATCCGAGGGTGCTGGCTCCACAACCTTTGCCTCCTGCGCTCCTCTCCTCCCCTCCGGCCGCCGCCGGCAGTGCGGTCCTTCCTGCACGCATGCTCTGGCTCACCGAAGGGAGACTGAATTTTTTATCGCGCTCATCACCATCATCGCGATGCTCCTTATCATGGCTTTATCATCGCCTCCTGCCTGGTGGCGCGACCACCAGCGCCGGCTCGCCGCCCGCCCGCCCCTTCCCCAGCGAGGGGAGCGGGACGCGCTCAGCCCCGCGGCCGCTCCCAAGATGCTCGCCTCCTCTGCCTCCGCGTCCCTCCCGTCCGTCTGCATGCACTTGATCTTGCTCCCTTTTATTTCGGTAGATCTCCTGCCTTGGGTTGGGCTGGCTGAATCGCTGGGGACGGCCACCAGTCTCTTATAACGGAGAACAAAAAGACGAAGACCCTGTGGGGACGCCGGGACAAAGCGCCTCCGGCTTGGCGAGGGGGACCGCAGGAGCGCTGGCTCCGGGCACGCGCGATCGCTGCTGAAGGGCGTCCGCCCGGCGCGCGGACCTCTGCGGGTACTCAGATTGAATTTTGTGTGTCCTTTTGGCATGCTTTATTTAACAGCGTCGGTGTTGGGGGTTGTTGTTTAGATTTTGTTTGTCTTTTCTGGGAGGGGTAGCGGAATCGTGGGAGATCCAGGTGGACTTAACTTGGCTTTCCGGCGCCCCTGCCTCGCCTTCCCCAGACACTGGGGGTAGGAAGGGGACCGGGCGGGCGGGGGGGGGGTCTGGAAGGCTTAGGAAAGAGGAGCCGGCTGCTGCCAGGAGGGCTAAGGGCACAGTGGGGCGAGGTGGAGGTGAGTGAGGGCAGTCCGGCCGGAGGAGGACTGCGGGGAAGGCGTCTTCCCCGACCCACGCCACCTTGGGTCCGCAGAATGAGTTTAGCTGGGAACGAGAATCTGGGTGGCTGTGGGTAGGCGCTCTGAGAAATTGGAAATTGATGAGAAATTGACATGTCCGTGTACGTGTGCGTTAAGGTGCGGACTGGATTTGTGTGTAAACAGAGTGGAGAGGTGCAGGGCATAGAGAGGGGTCTTAAAATAATGTCTTATTGTCCCTTTGGCTTTAGGGACTCTCATCCTCTCTCTCCCTTTTTTTTTGACCCGGGGATCCAGCCGCATTATACACGAGTGACCTTTTAAATCTACGTCCACCCTTTACCTGGTAAAGCCCGCTGACAGTTGGGGGTGGGGTGGGGTGGGGAGTGTAGGGGTGTTCTCTCTCTCTCTCTCCTCCCTCCCTCTGTCTCTCCTCCCTCGCTCCCCCCTTCACTCTCTCTTCCTCCCTCCCACCTCCCTCACTCCCTCCCTCCCTGCTGCATTTTGCATGAGCTATCTAGGTCATTAGCATTTTAGCGTATGCAAGACTTGACAAAGCTGACGAGGGGCCAGATGGGCCTCGCTCTTATGGGTTTTTTTTCCCTCTCTCTCTCCTCTCCCTCTCCTTTCCTTTTTCCCCTCCACCACTTGGGACCCGAGCGCGAGGACTGCAGCAGGCGAGTTCCGGAAGGCTGATTCCCGAGATCCCGGCCCCGGACCCGCAGCCGCCCTGCGGCACGCCCGGACCCCGCCGGCGGCGAGGTAAAGGCGGCGGCCGCGCGCCCTGCCCTTGGCAGCGGCCGCCGACCCCCTCTGCCCGCCGGGTCCCTCGTCCTCCGCGGCCCCTCCCGGCCCCCCTCAGTTTCCTGGGCAAAGCCGAGGGCGGGATGGGTGGGCAGGGTGCGCTCGCTGCGCTGGGACGAGGTGGGGTTGGTGTTGTTTTTTCATTGTCTGGAGCTGCAGGGGCGGCGAGGCGCGGGGAGAGGGGCGCGGGGAGTCGGCGTAATTAACACAGGGGAGGCACCCCTCCGTCCCCCACTTCCACCCACACCTCCGTCCCTCCACCCCCTCCGCTTTGCAGGAAAAAGCCTGGATGCGAAAGGATGGGGAGAACAAAGAGCCTTTGGAAGACGTCGCCGTAATCTCATTGTGTGTGTGACGGGGGCTGCGGTGGGGAGGGTGCTGTGGTCCTTTCCTCCCGGCGCTCCCCGCCCCTCCCCTCCCCGCTGTCAGTGCGCACGCACACGCGCCGCTTTTTATTTTTATTTCCCCCCCACCCTTGGTTTTCTCTTCCATCTTCTCCCCATCGCCCGCCCCCCTTCCTTTCTTCCACCTTTGCCTCCTTCCTCCTTTCCTTCCTCAGGAGAAAGGCCTCTCTCTCCGTGTTCACAGCGGACCTTGATTTAAATGTCCATACAATTAAGGCACGCGGTGAATGCCAAGAACGGGGCTGGCTGAGCACCGTGGGTTGGCGAGGGCCCGCCGGCACGAGCGCCCGAGCTAGCGCGGCGCCCTCCGCGGACCTCAGCGCGGCGGCGGCTTCGGGGCGCGAGGGCAGGGGCGCGGGCTGCCCTGCACCGGAGCCCGGGGTGGGAAGGTGTGCTGCCCGGGACAGACTGGGGCTTAGCGCTGCAAACAGGCTCAGGCCAAGAAACAGAAGCTGACTGTGGCAAACCGATCTGTGCAGGCGCAGATGCGGTGGCGCGTGGGGAGGGGTGGCCTGGGAGCGCATTGCGGAGAGCCTCTGTGTGTGCATATTTTTTTCCTCTGGGCTCGGGATTCATTGTACGTGGGTCAACACCTTCCTCCGTGGCTGTGTTTTTGTCCTGGGTTTAGTTTTGTTTTTGTTTTTGTTTTGTTTTTTGGTTTGCCCTTTTTTAAAAAAAGAAATAATCTGGCGGTCTAGGAGACTGGCAGACTGCCCCGGGCCCTGGACTGCGGATGTGTCGTATTCTGCTTGAGGTTTGGGAAGGAGTGGGGGGGAGCCCGGGACGTGGGAGGGGAGCTGTTTGTCACCCTTCGCGGTAGAGCAGTAGGCACCTGCCAACCTTAAGGAAGCCGCTGGGCTATGGTGGACAAGAAGGAACAAGCTCAGGGGCTGAAAGCCTGGCCCCCGCTCTAAGCAGCCCCTCGTGTCCTCCTTGTGGCTGTCACTGCAGTTTCAGGCGCTGATCCAGGAGCTGCAGAGGAAGGGAGAGGCGCAATAACCTACATGGACCCGAGGGAGGGACACACTCCTTTTAAAATGTGAACAGAAGGAAAAACAGAATGTGTGCAGGTGGAGTCTGAGGAAAGACTGTTTGGAAAGAGGCTGCCAGGGAATGGAAAGAGTTAAGCCTCCCTCCTCCTGAAGACCCTGCTTCCCAAATCAGGCCTTCCTCCCTGTCCCTGGACCCTGAGCAGCAGCTGGTCCTAGAGCCCCCCTCCCTGCACATCCCCCCATACTGGGCCCTCACAGCCCCATCCCATTTCCAGCTCTGCATTAGCCAGCCGCTGCAGCAGCGATGGTGGCAAGACCTAAGCGCATTAATTTCCAGGTGAAGATGGAGGAGGGGCAGGTCTCTGCAGCAGAGAGAGGCACAGAGAAAGGAGGCCAAGAACTAGCTCTTGGGGGAAGCTTGCTGTATCCCTTCCTCTGCACATGCCAGAGGCCTGTCTTTGCAAGGTCAAGGCCATAAGGGATGCTTAGGAGTTTGATTTGATTCCTGGTGCAGTGATCAAGGCCTGAAAGCATCCAGGGGAAGCCTACTGAGGACCTCTTTCCTCTCCAAAGCCTAGTGTAGCCCACTAGATAAATGAGTATTCAGTGATATTTTGGATCGGTACCCCTCCCTAGCCTCATTTCCTCCCAAATATTTATTCAGTGCCTACTGTATGCAACAGTGGTGCAATTATTACAACCGAGGCTCTTCATTCACCCTCCTAAGGGAGTGTTTAGAGTCAGACAGATGGAGGTGAAGTGTGACACACCCCACCTAGATACTCCCAGAACCTTCTCTGGGTCTGCAGAATGTGCCACAGCCCGCCCACCCCTGCAGAGAGAAGGCTGCAGTGCACGGCCTGTGGCCTGCAGGTGCTGGGCCGCCTCTTAAGCCCCAGAAGGCAAGCTTGGCAGCAGGACAGAAAGGGAGAGCAGCCTCTCCCACCCTGAGCCTTAGCAGGGGTTGTGCTGCATGAAAGGCTTTGGGAGCCATTGCCTTCAAAATATAGCTCCCTTGAAACTAGTATCCTCCTGAGTCCCTGTACTCCCTCTGCCCTTTCTGAACAGGTCCCTGCAGAGGACAGCAGCGGGCCATGCCTCACTGGGGTATAAATACCCTTGCCTCTGATCTCTCTGCTCCCTGTCCAGGCTGCTGGATGGTTCTTTTAGGCATGGTTGTGCCTCTGATGACCAAATCCTTGCCCCACAAATGTCCACATTAGCTAGCCTCTCCTCAGTCACCTCGGCTGTGTAATTCCTCCAGACATTACTGTGCCCTTCACTGATTGCCCTCCGGTAAAATCTCCAGATGCCTCTGCCAGTAATGCCCCTTTTAGGTGGAAAGCTGACATGCTGCTTCTCCCTGAAAGCTTAAACCTCAGGCACCGTGGCCAAGGCCTGCCAGGTTTCTGCTGCAGAAAATCTATGATGGGAGGGGCTTTTTGGTTTTTTAATTGCTTATGTAAACTCTTGTTCTAGAAAGCCTTAATGTGTGTGGGAGTGTTTGGGCTTTGCTGGGTCTGTGTGCGTTGGCGTGGGGACCTACCTGTGGCCACCAGTCTCGTTACAAAATGCATGTTTATGTGGGGCTCACATGGCTGAGAATGGCAAAGAGGTGAATGGACCCCTTTGCACCGTGTGTACCCATGAGGCCCCTTTTGTGTTCCCAGATGAGGTATCTGAGCAAAGGTGAGCCCTTCCCTTCCGTATTTGGAGCCTGCCTGTGCCCTCCTGTGCGTAGTTATGCCAGGAACCCAAAAAGTCCTGCTCTTCCAAGGCATTTAACTTCCAACATCATCTTCTCCCCTATGTGTCTATTTGAGCCCCTCTAATTACATCCTGTGGCTTAAATGAAAGGAAAAATATATAGTTCTTAAAAAGGAGGGCGCGGGAGAGGCAGTTTGCCAACCGAATTCGCCAAGAAGGCCCAATCGGCTGATCTATGCCACCATCGTCACACATGGTCAGGGTCCTCACATGAGCACATATGTTTCTTAAGGTAACTGTACCGGATACTTTTAAATTTGGGAACGTATCCAAGGAAAAACTGGTAACATTCTTCTTTCCTCTGCCAGAAACGGCCCAGATCTCTTTTTAAGCGGAAAAGAAATTGACTCTTTAACAGAGGCAAAGGTAAACTGTAAGTTACTTCTATTTCCAAGGTTGGGGGGCCGCTTTTGTGAATGCATGAGGGATTTTAGCCAGAGAGCTATTTGGGAACCGGGTATGTCCTCAGCAGACATGCGCCCATATACACACATGCTTACACATCCATTTTCTTGCATGACAATATCGGTGCATCGTATTTAGAGGAAGGCATTTGACCACAAAAAATAAAAATAAAAAAATCCATCCGTCTATACTGACTCCACAGGGAAATAATTCTTTCCCTCTATTGAACTTACATAATACCCCCCCCATTCCAACCTGAGAATGGAGTCCTCTGGGGGCAGCTGCAAAACGTTCGCTGGGACAGATGGCACCTCCCCTTCCTCATCTACTCTGTGGGTGGTTTTCGAGAGTGAGTCAACACGGGCTGGCTGAGTTGAGCTGGTGGTACGAGTGCTGGAGGCTTAGCTGGCTGATTCACGGTGACCAGCATGTCAACAACAACAACCATGAGAATGATGGTACCTAATAAAGATCTTTTTTTTTCTTCCAAGTCCCATCTACCATTCTTTCATTGGGTGTTTTGCCAAGTCTTACTCAATTTGATTTCAGTTTTTTTTTTTAAAGAAAACATTTAACACTTCATTGCATCATACATGTAGACCTGCAGCAAGAAAAAGGACTTCAGATGGAATTTATTCGAGGCAGTGTGCTCAAGGCCATGTGCACTGCTTTGTCCTCTATACCGGTGTGCAGAGACCTCAGAGCACCAAATTTAGATGGCCTCAAAAAAAAAAAAAAAAAAAAAACAGGCCTTATTGAGAGCAAAGAATGTTCCAGGTCAGAAATAAAGAGTCAGCAACTCTCAATAGGTTCACATTTTCGTTTTCTTATCCTTCTGCCTTTTGTCTTAAAATAGGCAGGTTACCGAGAAATAAGGGCCTGGATCATGGCTGCAAAAACCCCAAAAAATAAACTTCGGGGCTCATTAGGGCCTTCCTCAAAATTATATGTGGGGTGTGGGGGGATTCATTTTTAATTCACATGCAAACTGTTTCTTACTTAAACGCATATAAAGTAGCGAGCCCTGGGACCCAGGAGGCAATACTTTGGCTGCAAGTTCATCTTGCTTCTCTGTGCTACGTTCTCAAGGAGGCTCTGCCCCGGGAGCCGTGGAGGTATGGCTGTACCTCTGCCCCCGCAGGGTGGGGCCCCGCCCAGGCCTCCTGGTGGCCTGCTTCCCACCCTGCCCAAGCAAGGCTTTCTCTTCTTGTTCTTCCAACATACCGAGTCGTCTGCACTGAGCAAGGCGGAGATGAACAGGCGCTGGTTTCCCTGTTCGTTCTTGCTCCCTGTTTTCCCAGCCTTGATTTTTTTTTTCTTTCCCGGATCTTGCAGACTTAGGACCCCTGAGAGTTGGGTCACCCCGCGTTGCCCAAAGCTTTGGGCCCATCCGAGGTGAGGTGCGGGTAGACAAGGCTTCGTCTCAGTCAGTCCCATCCGGGATGCGCCCCAAGCCACAGTCGGTGGCACCAACAGCAGGGCTGGTCCCTGGGAGGCCACACGGTTCCCACCTAGGTGCCCTCCAATCTCACTCTAGCGCCAGGAAGACACTACAGGGCCAACGTTAGAGATTATGATGGAGTCTGGGGTGGGAACCAGGGCAGGTCAGGGCGGGGTGGGTCCTGAGCTCTAGAATATGGGCTGGGCGAGAGCCAAGGCCCAGGGGAATGAAATGTCCCTCTCTCTCACCACCCCAGCGCTCTGGGGCCTGTGCCTCTTCCCCCCTTCTCCAGGCCTCTCTCCCTCACCTCCGGCCTCGATGACCCCCCCCATCCCGCACCCGGAAACCTCCCCCAAAAAGCCTCAGAACATTCGAGAAAGAGAGGCAGGCAGGTTGGGGTGCAGGGAAGGGTAGGCTGGAAGAGGACCCCGCCCTGAACAGGCGCTGTGGCCTTCCACCCGCAGAGCGCAGGAATGCGCTTTAGAGGTGGGGCTTTGAGGGGGAATTTTTATCCTAGGACCCCCTCCTTGACTCCCCTTTACACTCAGCCCCCCACCCCTGCTCTATCCTGGACACCTACGGTGGCCTGGCAGGGGCAGGCATCTTCCCCCAGCACCTTGCCACCCCAAACGCCCTCCTTCCCCACCCCCCAACACTCTATAGAAGCTGAAACCAGGACAGAAGTTCTCAACCCAGAAGGAAAAACAACACATTCCTCCCTCAGCCTTAGCGCTAATCCCAGATCGGTCGCCAGAGGGGACAGAGCCGCTGAGAAGCGAGTTTGCAGGAAGATGCAGGATGCTCTGTTGTCGTGAAACCCCTTGCCAATGCGACAATGACAGACACGGTCTCTGTTTCCCAAAGAGTAAATTTCTTCTGCCTCCTCGCCTGTTAGGCCCGCCAGCCGCAGAGTCAGCGGTGCGAGGGGGCCTGTGCCCTGAAGTAACCTCCAGAACCCTGGCCTCAAGGTCACGGGCAGGCTGACCTCTAGGGGCTGCAGGTCAGGACCAGGATGGTGCCTGACTTAAGGCTGTGCCACCAAGAGCTTCAGGGGAGGGGCTTCCCTCCAAGCCCCCTCCCACACCGCACAGATTGGTGTGGCAATATTTATTCCCATTTAATTGAGACACTGGTTTAATTTCAGTTTGCTTCAGCTGCAGGCCCAATGGGGTTTTTCTGCAGCTCTTTCCCCCAGTGCCTCTACAGAAACTAATTGCTGTTAATATCCAATTTTGGCTTTATTATTCGTTAGCCAATGAGGTCGCCCATCGCAGGGGCCGCTTGCTGCTCCCTGCCTCTGCCCCTCTGCCGAATGAGCTAGTGCGGCGCCTGGCTCCTGCCTCTATTCAAACTCTCCCCTCCCCGGCATGATTTACTGGGCATCTCGGGCCCTTGTGTTCGTTTGTCCCAGCACCGGCCAAGCTGGGGGAGGTTTCTTGGAGGCTTTTCCCCCCTTTTGAGGGAAACTTTTTTCTTTGTAGTTGAAGTGAATAATTTCTATTTTTTTTTTTTAAATGTGAGTTTTTCCACCCTCTCTTCTTCGCGATCTGCAGGCTTGCTTTCTCCTGAGCCATTTTTGAAGCAGCATTTTCCCGTCTAAAGGGAGCCTCGGCCTCGGGCTTCCCTCCCTACATGCTCTCCTCCTCACCCCTGCAGGGGCCCAGCCACAGCCACCTTGGAGCTGCGGCCACATGTATATGTAGCTCTCAGAGACTGTCATTTCTCGTTTCAAGGAGGGAAACTTGAAAAAGCAATTGGGGCAAGGCACCATTTGCCCGGATGAAGGCAGCTCCTGCCTCCTCCCCACTGAAGCCCTGGAAACCGCTCCTGCCTCCAATCCCGCCAGTTGGAGCTGACGCAGGTGGGGGCCAAGTGCCTTTTAAAAAAAAAAAATGTTCTTTTGCCTTGTTTTATGTATGCCTTGAGTACACTTCCCATTGCTGGCGCTCTGGAAGCAGGAAAATAAAAGCGAAAAATCACAACGGCGGCAGACGGGCCTTCTTTGTCCGCTTCCCTTCCTCCCTCCATTTTGAAACGATGCTGTCAAAGCCATAACGGGCCCTTGCATTTCCCTCCAGCAGTCCTATGCCACCTGCACAGAGCCAGCGTCAGAATGGAACGGCGAGAAAACAAAATGTCACAGCAGCTGGCTTTGGCTGTGGCCTTCCCTGCCACCTGGAAGCTCCGCCCCTTCTGGGGAAGCTGGAGGGTTTTTCCTCCTGGCCTGGGAATCCTATGGTCAGATTTTCCGTAGGGGGGAAGTGGGTGGTGAGGGCTGGGACGTGGTTAAGAAGGTGCCTTACGCAGAAGGCTCGATAAATACCACCCAAATTGGATGTAATTAAATTAGCAGCAGCTGCCCTACTTTTCCTGCAGAAAAGCTACAGTTAGGCCTTAAGGCCTCTTGGGCAAAGGCTAGTTGGAGTGGCGCCCTAGGAAAGGGAGGACATTCAGAATTCAGTTTCTGGTTCCTCTCTGGTCCTCAGCCCTGGCTGAATTCATCCAGATGTGTGGAGTTTTGTTTTTCAAATAGTTCGTGCAGGCCGGGCAGGGTGGCTCACGCCTGTAATCCCAGAACTCTGGGAGGCCAAGGCGGCCGGATTGCTCAAGGTCAGGAGTTCAAAACCAGCCTGAACAAGAGCGATACCCCGTCTCTACTATTTTAGAAAGAAATTCATTGGCCAACTAATATATATAGAAAAAATTAGCCGGGCATGGTGGCACATGCCTGTAGTCCCAGCTACTTGGGAGGCTGAGGCAGGAGGATTGCTTGAGCCCAGGAGTTTGAGGTTGCTGTGAGCTAGGCTGATGCCACAGTACTCACTCTAGCCTAGGCAACAAAGCAAGACTCTGTCTCAAAAATTAAAAAAATAAAAAAACCAAATAGTTCCTGCATACCACACCCAGTTTGCATCCCAGACCCAGTCCAGGTAGGATTTCTAAGAGGAAAATCTCTTTTTTTAAGAACCATTCCATCTTCCTTTAAGAGCACTTCTTTAACTTTCTAGTGACCCTTATGTTCAAATCTCTCACCACCCCAATCCACATTTCATCTGAGGGCTTCCTCATTGGGGCATGCCTTCTAACGATAAATAACAACAACAGTAATAATAACTCCTACTTCTTTCTACTCTCTTCCACTTGGCCCCCCGAAAAACATCTATATTCTCCATGTTCCAGAGATGTTAGGAGAAAGACAGTGAGGTGAAACCACTTTACACATTAATATGTAAATCACTTAATCAGTCTCTTAACTTTCCCAGAGATATTGCACATTTTAGAAGAGGCACTTACGTACCAAACGAAATCTAACCGCAGCAGTCTCTTGTAGAGGCAGGTGGAAGTGGGAGGCAGAGTCGCACCGACACCTCCACTTCCTGCAGGAGGACAGCCTTGTCACCCCTCTGTTCCAACCACTCCAGTCCTCACCCTTCAGAACACGTTCATTTGGAAACGTTTAATAAAGAAACACACACAAAGAACCCAGAATGACACCTCTTGTATATTCCTGGCTAGAGCTGGAACCCATTCTACTAAGTGAAGTATCCCAAGAATGGAAATACAAGCACCACATGTACTCACCAGCAAATTGGTATTAACTGATCAGCACCTCAGTGGACATATAGGAATAACATGTATCGGGTGTCGGGCAGGTGGGGGGAGGAGGGGATGGGTGTATACAAACACAGTGAGTGAGATGTGCAATGTTTGGGGGATGGTCACGCTTGCAGCTCTGACTTGAGGGGGGAGGGGGGCACGGGCAATATAAGTAACTTAAACATTTGTACCCCCATAGTATGCTGAAAAAAATAAAAATTTAAAAATAAAAAAGAACCCAAAATGAATGCTCGTTGCTGGGGCTGTCCCCTGCCTCCTGAGCACTGACATTCTATAGACCGACTGCAGGCAGGGAGACACATCCTGACCCTTTGGCAGAGACACGTGTGATTTGGGCATGACAGGTAGACATCCTTCTAGGTCAGGGGTGGGGAACCTACTAACTCAAGGCCAACATGTGGCCTTCTGGGTCATTAAGTGCAGCCTTTTGACTGAATCCAAATTTTACAGACCAAACCTTTCATTTTTATTAATACATTTTTGTCCTCTTTTATATATATATATTTTTTTTTTTTTTTTTGAGACAGAGTCTCGCTTTGTTGCCTGGGCTAGAGTGCCATGGTGTCAGCCTAGCTCACAGCAACCTCAAACTCCTGGGCTCAAGCTATCCTGCTGCCTCAGCCTCCCGAGTAGCTGGGACTACAGGCATGCGCCACCATGCCTGGCTAATTTTTTCTATCTATTTTC